GCACACTGAGTCTGTGTTGATAGTATGTCTCATGTCTTGCCTTTTTTTGGGAAGGAACTTTGAATGTGTTGATACACCATCTCCTCAGAAAATGTGTCTCTGCCCTACACTCAATTGAATTTTGCCACAGGTCAACTCCAGTCAAATTCCATACATTTCCCCTGGATAATTAAAGCAACAGGATGCACCAGACCACAGTTCGGAGGGCGGCAGCAAACAGTCTTTGAGCTTTTGATTTTTAATGAATTTTAAGATGAACACATTTTTACTTTGTCAGTACAGGTTACTAAGTGTAGACTGATCTGCAATTTTATCCATTTAAAATTAAATCTTTAAACACATTTCATTGTGCAAAACGTGAGGGAATCTGAATATTTGAAAGCTATTTTAGCCAAAGCCATAATTAATCAAAAAACAAATTTTCCCTTCCACTTTTAATGTCATTCCCACCCCCTTTGTGTGCATCACTGCAGGTGTAAGGGGGCTTCATCAGCCAGCTTCACTAAATCTGACTCAGATATACACTGAAGTCCAGACATTCTCCTGAAATGATCTGGAGGGGCTGTATGAAAGAACGCAAATGACAGTCACTTGCTCCGGATACTCTCCTTTCCTGCCAGCACCTCAGTAAAAACTCTGATGTCTGAGTGAGCCCATGTGAGAACACGGCAGGATTATGCCCTGGGAATTCACCTCGAGCAGGTGAGCATATTGATGATGTCTGTAACAAAAATAATACTGATATCTCGGGATGGAAAAGAGGAGGCATATACAGTATGTCCTTCCTCCAGCAAGCTCCACACAGATGCCAACCCAAACCATAACACTCCAAAGATTGTCCTATTGTTGTTACTGCATCCAACCTGGAGTCTGAAAACAGCTCAAGAGGTCTAGGTTGTTGTTTCTGGATCCTACCCGTCTTTATGACGGCACCAATGAACCAATAGGAATCAGTAGCATAGAGACATGGTTGTGATGTCTCACCAGCTTTTTAACCACAAACACAGACTATTATGATACAGAATCAAGCCAGTGGAAACACTGACACTGAACCACAGAGTTCTCTGTTATTAGGTGAGAAGTGTGTCCCTGTGCCATCATGTTTCTCCAAAGCCATTTACCCATCATTCTGAGGTACTCGTACCATTGCCAGTCGTCTAAGAAACCTGCCTACATAAGGAGTAACATAAATGTTTCCTCTCACAGCAAATGTGTTTATTGGGAAAAGTAAATGCACCTATTGACATCTGTCGTGCATGTTTGACAAATGATGTGTTATCTGTCATGACATCACAAATCCCGTTGGTGCACTCTCCACTCACCCGCACCGCCACCACATCTGGAAACACTAATGAAAGCCACAAGTCTATTATATTTCCTCAACTGCAAAATCCGTGAGCAGCCATGGCTATTCCATCTGTTAAACGTAGCGTTTGAAGAGTAACCTTATGCAGTGGATTTCCTGAGGACAGCAGACATGAGCTGATGAAGAATACTTGAACAAACAATATATGTCAGAAACTTGGTCTGACATAGGCTAAAGGCCAGAAACCGTGATGAAATGGCACAGCAAGTGGTCGTGGCAAAGCTCAGGGAACCACTGGTGCAGACCTTCATGATGACAGGTAAAATAACAAATAAATTCAACAGGAGCCATCTTGTACATAGTCGGAAATAGAAGACAACTTTTAAAAATCACAATTCTTTGAGTTGCTAACTTTGTGTCAATCTAAATAAAAAATCCACTTAGTACTATGTTGCAAGATTTGCATGTGCTGTTCCATATTTCTGCAGTATGGGGACTTCAGGAATGATTTTCTGCAACTCCGGAAACAGAAAAAACACTTTTATTTCCTGATACCAAGTCTGTCATGATGCAATAACCGGTCTATTTTTTGTTGTTGGTCTGGAAATCTGAAAAACACTGATGGACAGGATTTTGAATTAAAAATACAC